TGTGAGAGGGAATGACAACTAAAAGAAATGGGGTGATTGATATGCTATTAATAGGGAGTATATTAATTACAATTATGGCAGTTAATGAAATGCTTGAAATAAATTATAAATAAAATATGAAGTTTAGTGGCAATGATGTAAAAACATAGAAATACTACGACCTCTTATATCCTATTAGTTATTTAAATTTGAAATTGGGTTTTACACATAGATTTATAGAGTGATAGGTATATGTCTAGAAAATAGAAAATGTAGGGATCTATATTGGACAAGCCCTTTTTAATAACCAGATTACTATATCAATGAATGCAAAGTTTGCAACTATGCAAGACAAACAAATGGCGGTGGAGACAAATAAAGACAGCAGCAAATTGCCGCAAACCCTAATCTTCAACTCCAAAAACAAGGGTCTCCCACCCTTGGATATACCATAACTAAGTTGTCTCTCGAGTGCCACCTTTTCTTTCAATGTTCTGATAAGCCAAATCTAAATTTATTTGTCCCTTTGAAGACACCCTGGCATTCCTTTTATTATGTACCTTCATACCCACATAATATTAATTAATTTTGTCTCTAGCCAACATTCCTCTATCTATCTATATATATACACAACCAACATGTACAACTTCTATTTCAAAAGTCGGCTAGCTACAGAGTACAAAATATATATACTATTCTAATTAAATTTTAAACTCTCCTAGAGTTTAGGGTTTGAAACCCGAAGACCTGAGTTCGAATCCCTCCATTCTTGTACGAGAGGATATTCTAAACTCTGAGTGATGGATAAGGCTATGGCAGCGACCTTCCCAACCGTTGACAAATGCACGTCAAACGGCCGCGAAAAACACATGGTGGTTGCCGACATGGACGGAACTTTGCTTAGAGGGAGAAGCTCCTTCCCTTACTTTGCCCTCATTGCCTTTGAGGTTGGTGGGATTTTAAGGCTACTTTTCTTGCTCTTGGTTACACCATTAGCTGGACTTCTCTATTACTTTATCTCAGAATCTTCTGGGATCCAAGTTCTCATCTTTGCAACGTTTGCTGGTGTGAGGGTTTCCGAGATTGAGTCTGTGGCCAGGGCTGTGCTGCCTAAGTTTTATTCGAGCGATTTGCACCCTGAGTCTTGGCGTGTGCTGTCTGCATGTGAGAAGAGATGTATTCTTACTGCAAATCCGAGGATTATGGTGGAGCCGTTTTTGAAGGATTTTCTTGGATTCGACACGGTTTTGGGGACTGAAATTGCAACTTATAAGGGTAAGGCTACTGGGTTTGTTTGCCTACCTGGTGTTCTTGTGGGGAAGAAGAAAGCAGATGCTCTTAAAAAGGCTTTTGGAGATGTCCAGCCAGAGATTGGGCTTGGTGATAGGCACACCGACATTCCTTTCATGAAACTTTGCAAGGTTTGACACTTTTCATTTATGCTATTCAATTTTATATTTCTTTGATAGGCACACTAACGTACATATTTGCTTACCGGCCCTCTTTTACAACCTAAATTCATAATGTTTTGAACGAATTCTTTCTAGCACAATCAATTCTAAATGTGAGATTGTGATACGATAAATAATATTAGCACTAATACCAGAGATACTAGCTTTTAGATACCAACATTAACTTATATAATAATCTTTTATTTGACGTGAATAAATAAGGTCTAATGTGGTCATAAAATAAAAATAAATGAAATACTGTCACATCAATTAATGTCCGAAAATTAATGTAATAAATTAATATCTAATGTATTACACTTATTAGATACTGTAAATTGATAACCGAATTACTTTATTTTACAATAATATAGAAGATTTAAACCCGAACATGTATATATGAACTTAATGAATATTGTTGCAGGAGGGTTACATGGTGCCAGCCGAACCAGAAGTGGAAGCAGTAACAAATGACAAGCTCCCAAAACCCATCATCTTCCACGACGGCCGCCTCGTCTTAAAGCCAACCCCTCTCATGGCCCTCCTAACCCTCCTCTGGCTCCCCGTCGGCTTCTTCCTCGCCTGCCTCCGAATCTCAGCGGGGGCTCTCCTCCCCATGCCACTCGTCTACTACGCCTTCTGGGCACTCGGCGTCCGCGTCACCGTCAAGGGCACCCCACCTCCGCCGCCTAAAAAATCCACTGGCCAATCCGGCGTCCTCTTCATCTGCTCCCACCGCACCCTCCTCGACCCAATCTTCCTCTCCACAGCCCTCGGCCGCCCCATCCCCGCGGTCACCTACTCCGTCTCCCGCCTCTCCGAGTTCATCTCCCCCATCAAAACCGTCCGCCTCAGCCGCGACCGGGCGAGGGACGCCTCCATGATCAAGAAGCTTCTAGAAGAAGGCGACCTGGCGATCTGCCCGGAGGGCACCACGTGTCGGGAGCCATTTCTACTGAGATTCTCCGCTCTGTTCGCGGAGCTGACGGACGAGCTGGTCCCGGTGGCGATGGTGAATAGAATGAGCATGTTTCACGGGACGACGGCGCGTGGGTGGAAGGGTATGGACCCGTTTTACTTCTTCATGAACCCGAGCCCGGCTTATGAAGTCACGTTTTTGAACAAGTTGCCGGCAGAGCTGACTTGTGGGTCCGGGAAGTCGAGCCATGACGTGGCGAATTATATCCAGAGGGTTATAGCGGCCAGCCTCTCGTATGAATACACCGGGTTTACCAGAAAAGATAAGTACCGGGCACTTGCCGGAAATGACGGGACTGTCGTTGAGAAACCGTTGCTCCAACCCAACAAAGTCATGGGATGCTAGGCCACCTCAGCTGATGGTTTTTCCTTACTAGCTTTTTACTGTTACTAGTCTAGTTATTGTTTTTTTCACTGCAAAAAATATATATGTCATTGATCAGGTAAAAGACCAGGTGCCTGGGTAATTATTCACTTTTTCATTTAGTCAGTCAAATATGTAGAAATAAATGACAAGGAAAAAGAGAATGTGTAGTGTAAGTGTACCAAGAAGAAAATACGTATTTGTATTTTCCTATTGTTTGTTTGGAATAATCACCATTAGTGGAATTTTGCTTTTATTAGTTTTATTTTCATTTTTGGGCAAGGTTTAAGGAATTGTTTTGAAAAATAAACAAAATTAAAAAGAGCAAATATGGATTATGCCCCATGCACCCGAGTTCGAACCCCCTCCCCTCCGTATATTAAAATAGTTAGAATATCACTCTTGTCAACATATCAATATATAAAAGAAAAAGGAGAAAAGGAAATGGAAAAGGAATATAGTAAATAAATAAGTGAAGATTCAACGGCTATGATAGATTCATTTCAATTGGGCGAATGGATGGTTGGGATAGATCCAAAACAAACCAAGCGAGTCCTACGTGTTTCTAACGGGTTGCAAAAGCATGTCGTTTGCCCGCCTGTGTCTCCTCCCTCCCTCCCTCTCGCAAGCTCTCTCTCTCTCTCTCTCTCTGATGAAAAATGAAATCATATTCAGATTGAGCTAGACTTGTTGTTGATGTTATAGATAAACAAAACGGCAGTGGAAGAATATAGAATTGAAAATCAAAATGGACTCGACGACGATCTCGCATCTTTCGAAAGGATCAATATCGTCAAGTATAGGAGACTCGTGGGAGCTTGAAGGAACTCTGCCTCTCAGCGATAGGCTTAAGGCCTTCAAGACCTCTCAGTTCGACCCAGATTCCTATATCACCCACAAATGCCACACCATGAGTGAGAAGGTCAGAGAACCGCAACCCCTCTCCCTCTCCCTCTCTCCCTCTCCCTCTCTCTCTCTCTCTCTCTCTCTCTCTCTCTCTCTCTCTCTACATGCCGCTCCTGATTGTATGATATGTTTGCTTCTTTCGTAATTTTCATGGGTTCGGGTCTGTAAAACCAAATTATGAAAAGGGTGGTCAATGGTTGCAGAGTTCTTGAGAACAATCCATGCAAATACATGTGATTTTCTAGAATCAGGCAAACAAAATCTGGTTGTGTTTTTATAATTTTACGCTTAATTTGTTGTTAGTATTTAGTTCTAGTCATGCATGGTGAATAATTTTACTGGAATTTGTAATATAATATAGGCATTGATGATGGTTTTAGGAGATAAAGCACCTCTGTTCTTACCTCGTTGAGCTGAAGAAGGCATCTGCAGAGGAAATGCGTAAGAGTGTGTATGCTAATTATTCAGCCTTTATTCGGTGAGCGCAATTCATTCTCTTCTTATTCTTCTAATTATTCAGCCTTGATTATAATTTTCATTGGTGCATATATTACTATTTATATTGGTTCGTTTGCAGTACATCTAAGGAGATCTCTGACCTTGAGGGACAGCTCCTTTCAATGAGAAATCTTCTATCTACTCAGGCAGCTTTGGTTCATGGGTTATCTGAAGGAATTCGGGTTGATTCGTTGTCTGCTGGCTATGAAGATTTCACCAACGAGGACACATCGGTTGAAAATAGGGAACTTTCCGAGATAGAGAATTGGTTAGGGGAATTTCAGGACACCCTTGAAGTTCTATTGGCCGAAAGAAGAGTGGATGAAGCTTTGGTTGCCTTGGACGAAGGAGAACGTGTTATGGACCAAGCTAATGACAGGCATAAATTGAACCCAGCGGCATTCTTGTCAATGCAGATTACAATCACTGAACAGAGACAAAAATTGATTGATCAGCTTGCAGAGACTATGTGCCAACCTTCCACTCGCGTTGTTGAGCTTCGCTCAGCTGTTGTAGCTCTCAAAAAGCTCGGGGATGGTCCCCGTTCCCATACGTTGCTACTTAATGCTCACCGTCAAAAGTTGCAGTCCAATATGCAAGGCCTTAGCACAACTAGCACTTCATTTGGATTAGCATATATTGCTGCACTTTCACAACTTGTCTTCTCAAGCATTGCACAAGCAGCAAGCGATTCCTTGGCAGTTTTCAGTGAGGAGACTGCTTATACATCTGAGCTTGTTACTTGGGCAGTCAAACAGACGGAGGCTTTTGCTCATCTCCTAAAGAGGCATGTTCTAGCTTCATCAGCAGCTTCTGGAAGTATGAGAGTTGCTGCTGAGTGTGTTCATATATGCTTGGGACACTGTTCTTTGTTAGAAGCTCGTGGATTGTGCCTCTCTCCGGTTCTGTTGAGACTCTTTAGGCCCTTCCTTGAGCAGGCATTGAGCTCCAACTTAAAAAGAATTGAGCAGAGCAGTGCGGCATTAGCTGCTGCTGATGATTGGCTGCTTCTTTATCCACCCGTAGGTGCACGCCTTATGGGTTCAACTTCATCTCTTAATGCTGTGAGCGCATACCAGCCAAAGCTTTCAAGCAGTGCTCACAGATTCAATTCAATGGTTCAGGTGACCATTGATCTCACTTTTACTTCAGTACTTGTTCGGGAATTTCCAACTTCACAAAAACTAATTAATTAATGTTGCTAATAATATCTGCATTTAGGAACTTTTTGAGGATGTCGCGCCCCTCGACACCCTGCAGTTGGATGGTCCTGCATTAGAAGGTGTTTTACTAGCCTTTAACTCCTATGTCAATTTGCTGATGAATGCAGTACCTGGTTCAGTGGAGAATGAGGAGAACTTGGAAGGTTCAGGAAATAAACTCGTTAGGATGGCAGAGACAGAAGCCCAACAGTTAGCTTTGCTAGCTAATGCATCATTGTTAGCAGATGAGCTACTCCCGCGTGCCGCTATGAAGCTTTTGCCCTTGCAGCAGGGTCAGCAGGCTAACAGAGCAATGGAAACCCCTAAGAGATCTTCAGACAGGGGAAACCGTGTTCCTGAGCCAAGCAGGGAATGGAAGAAGAGGCTTCAGCGTTCGGTTGAACAGTTGAGAGATAGCTTCTGCAGACTACATGCCCTTGATCTCATCTTCACAGAAGACGGTGACACACGTCTCAATGCACACATGTACACAAGTATGGACGGAAATATAGACCCTGAATGGTTCCCATCTCCTATCCTTCAGGAATTTTTCGCTAAGTTGACAACATTAGCAAACCTTGCAACAGATATTTTTGTGGGAAGGGAAAGGTTTGCAACTATCCTATTAATGAGACTGACAGAGACTGTGATCCTCTGGCTTTCTGATGATCAGAATTTCTGGGCAGAAATAGAAGAGGGGCCAAAACCGTTAGGTCCTCTTGGCCTTCAACAGGTATATTTATTCGTATTCATTTGCTAAATGAATCTTTTGCTCTATCTATGTAATCTACGTTAACATTTTGTTTGATTTCCATGCAGTTCTATTTGGATATGGAGTTCGTGCTGCTATTTGCATCCCAAGGCCGATACCTTTCTCGGCATCTCCATCAAGTTATAAAGAACATTATCGGTCGAGCTATCGATGCAGTTACAGCTACTGGAGTTGATCCATACAGGTACAACAAGTAAAAGCTAAAATCTTAATTGAAAATGGCTTAAAGAAACAAAAAAGTTAAGAATGCTTGTTAATCAGAGAATATCAGCATTGTTCTTTATACCTTAATTCACATTCTTTTTCTTTTCTTGTTTTGGCAGTGTGCTGCCAGAGGATGACTGGTTTGCTGAAGTAGCACAAATAGCAATAAAGATGTTGACTGGAAAAGCCAACTTCTCAAACGTAGAACAAGATGTGACCAGCCCCACTCAATCGGTATCAGCAAAATCTGCATCATCCATCTATTCTCATGGAAGTGAGAGCAATTTTGCTCACCACTATAGAGAGTAGTAACATGCTGTTGACAAACTCATTTGTTGATAACAAGGATTTTGTCTTCAAATTTTACCCTCAATTAGAATCATCATTTCATGGTGATGATGAGTTCCATTTAGTAATTTCAAATTTTGGTTAGGAGTGAGAAAGAGCAGTGGAGTTGGTGCTTGGTAGTTTAACAGAAAGCAAAAAAGAAGAGAGATTTCTGCCACTTTTCAGATTAATTGGATGTATAATATTTTGATCCTTTTGACTTCTTTAAACAATAAGCATGGCTATCACGTGCATGCTTTTTTTTTTAATTGCTTTGGTGAGACCATCATGTGCAGACACAAACATGCTTTTGAGCAGTAAAACCTGTAAAGGGAAAAAGAAGACAAAAAAAGAGAGCACAATCGATATCTTTGACCAACTCTAGTTATATAACTTGTTTTCTAACCCAGAAAAAAACAGAGAAAATCAAATCCAACACACTCAACGCGCTTTCTCAAAATCACATTTCCTTCTGTGCAAACAAAATGACAATTGAGCTGCTGTGGGTTGTGCTCATCACCGTCTTAACATTTGGAGAGGCAAATCCAAGACTAAAAGAAGAATGCAACCCAAGTGACCTGAAAGGCCTAACCATTTTCAAGTCTGGAATTCATGTTGACACTTCAGGCCGGCTGGCAAATTGGGTTGGTGGCAATTGTTGCAACTGGGAAGGCATTTCCTGTGAAAATAGGACTGGCAGAGTGGCAGAAATAAATCTATCTGCCTTCATTTCATCTGATGATTCTCCTTTCCAAGCCCAGATGGAAGGCTTGTTCTCTTCTTCAATTACCCTCCTAGCCTCTCTTCAAGTCCTAGATCTTGGTGGGCTCTCTGGTCTTTCTGGGACACTTCCAAAATCCATAGGTTTTCACCTCCCGGAGCTCAGAAGGCTCGTTCTTTATGGCAACAACCTCAGTGGAGCAATCCCAGAAAGCATTGGTAAGCTGTCAAAACTTGAAGAACTTGTGCTGCATGAGAATAAGTTTTCTGGGTCACTCCCATCAAGCCTCGGGAGGCTTAAGAATCTAAAGAGGCTAAGTTTATATTCAAATCGACTTTTAGGTCGCATGCCTGATTCGTTTACAAATTTGACAAGTTTGGTATATTTGGATCTTCATGACAATTCTCTAACTGGTTACATCCCACAGAGAATTGGTCAGTTACAGGTCTTGGAAGAGCTTGATCTTTCAAGCAATTTCTTGGCTGGGAATCTTCCACCTTCATTGGCTAATTTAACTGCCGTTTCAGTTATGTGCTTGGACACTAATTATCTTGAGGGACCAATTCCATTTCCATCAAGCTCTGCCCAAATGTCTTCTCTTAGGCTTTTAAGGCTGCATACTAATCATCTTACTGGGAAAATACCACCCACATTTGGAGATCTGGTCTCCCTCCAAAGATTTTCCCTAGCAAATAACAAGCTTGAGGGAGCAATCCCCTCTAGCTTTGGTAATTTATCAGCTTTGAGAGAGCTATACCTTAATGGCAACCAATTTTCTGGTCAAATACCAAAATCAGTTGGTCAACTCTCCCAGCTTATACTCTTCAACATCTCTCATAACTTGATCCAAGGACCACTTCCTTCTGAGATGTCTTCCCTCCAAAATATTCAAGCGCTCGATCTGTCATTCAACCTTTTAAGCCTTTCCTCCTTCCCAAAATGGCTTGCGGAGCTGCCGTCCCTTTCTCGGATTTACTTGGCAGGATGTGGGATCCAGGGCAGCATTCCAGGGTTCTTGCGCTCGACTCCAAGTCCAATTCAGGAACTGGACTTATCAGCCAACAATCTTACTGGAAGCATTCCAACATGGCTTGGAGTTGGAAGCCTTGCTCAGCTCTACTTATTAAACCTGTCCAGGAACTCACTTGTTTCAAAGATCCCTGAGTCAGTTAAAAACTTACACGACTTGGGTGTGCTTGATCTCCATGGAAACAAGCTATCAGGCTCGATGAGCCGAGTTTTCGAGATAGGACAGGAGTTCCCAGATGGATCACTAACATATCTTGATCTCTCTGATAACAAATTCTCCAGTGGAATGGGGCAAATTGGGGTAGGAGCTCAGCATGGCATTCAGCTTCTCAACTTATCAAACAACATTTTGCAAGGTAGATTTCCAACATCCATAGAGAGACTGAAGTTACTGCAAAGTCTGGATTTGAGTTCCAACAAGTTAGGCTTCAACTTGCCAGAGGCCTTGGCGAATTTAAGCATGTTAGAGACGCTAAAGTTGGAGAAAAACCGCTTTGCTGGTAAAATTCCAAATGGGTTTCTGAAATTGAGAAAGCTGAAGCAATTAGATTTATCAGACAATCTTTTAGTCGGGGAAATCCCAGTGGGTAAACCCTTGAGTGACTTTCCCCAGAGCTCTTACTCTGGAAACAGAGGCTTATGTGGAAAGCCTCTCGCTCCTTGTAAGCCTACATGGTTTGGTTGATGTGTTTGAAAACTCATGAAGGCCTATCCACCTAAATAACTTTTACAATTAGTTCCAAATTCTTTGATTTATAAAAACATTTACAATTAGTGCATGGCTGTGATGATTTTTGCACTTGCTATGGAATGCTTGTTGCCTCAATTCATTGGAGATTATGAGAGTCTACAACCACACAAAAGATGAAACCTCTTGAATTTTTGCTGTATTAATGATTGATTTTAAGATTTACATTGTCCCAACACTTACAGGGGTCAAAGGGGATCTTGGGTCAACCCCAGTTGATGGTAGTTCATGTAGTCAATTCCATTCAATCGTATACAACATAAGATCTGCTCGGGCAACTCTTCGGGTTTGTTCCCCTGTTTTAAAATGCAAATGTGAGATATAGACGAACAAGTTCAAAAAGCCAGCATGAAAAACACAAAGTGAATTATACAACTCAATTTAACTTGTTGGACAAACTCACCTGAATTGTGAGGCCAACATCCAAGATGCAGAGCTTTAGCCTATCCAAGAATGCTTCAAACCCCTTCCTAGAGATATAACTAAATCTGTGCATATCCAAATCAATCTCCAGGTAGTTTTCTCCCTGAATTCAGGTATTCATTATAAAAAGAAAAAAGAATCTGTTAGTCCAAAGATGAATTTGGAAGAATGGGGCAAAAAAAAAAAAGCAATACAAACACACTCACCAAGTAAAACTCATGTTGAGGACGTGAAAGAACTGGTTTTTCATTGTAAGCCTGCATAAGCTTCCGCTCCGGTGCACTCAAGTGAAGATCTTCCACATTCACAACACGTCCCAATATTTTCAACCTTTCTCGAAAGGGTGCAATTGTATCCACAGGAAAACCTTTGACCTTTTCAACTTCATCGCCAATTAACCTCTGGTGTGAAAAAAGGCACAGATATGAATTAATGAAAGTATTATGCATCATTCTAGGATGACTGCCCGTCATCATCACTGATGAAAATGATATATGCAAAAAGGTTCAGTATGAAATGAGGCTGCAATGCAAACTTCAAAAGGCTCCATCTTACTCTGATATTTTCTTGAAAATTAGGTGGAAGTTCCTTGGAGTATATATCAGAAAGCTTAAAGTACAAAACAAAATTCATTCCTTCTCCATCAGTCTCACCCTGAAAAATTGCAGCAGGATACAATGGCACCTGTAGAATTCATGAAAAGGACAGTATTAGAATAATTGAATAAGTTTTACACACTTCTAGAAAGCAATTCCATTTACATTTAATTTACTAACCACAACGTATCTAGACTGACTACCCCAACCACTTAACTCTTGAATTCAGATTCAATGACAAATGATTCCACCACCAGAAACTAACACCTAAAATTTGAAACAAAATGATCATACGAAGAAAAAAAAGGGGGCAACTTTTACAAGCAAGATAGATTTACACAGCCCTGGGCCTTTGTTTAAGTGGTGAATGGTGTGGTAGAATGGGAGAGCTTTAAAGTTGGAATCGTGTGTCGTAAATAAATATGATAGGTGGCAGTATAACTCCTCAGTTGTTACAGCTTCTGGGCAATTTAGAGAGTATTTAAATTATCCTATTTATTTTATTTTTGAATTTTAAATCCCAGCTGGATTGTTTGAGGCTACTCCAAACAAGGATTTAAGTTGTCTTAGGAGCTTGAAAACCATTATTCTCTGGCTAATATAAAATGGACAAATATGCATTCATACAGAGAGAGGAAGAAAGGGAGTGAGGGAAGGGGTGGGGGAGAGAAAGAAATACCTGCACATTTACAACAAGAATGGCAGGAAGATCTCCAGAAGAATTAACAATAGGGAGTTCCACAAATCGAGCTATATGATCTATTTTTCGCTGAGATAAAAATACGTCAAGACCAAATGGATAATATGCAGCATAGCTGGGAGCAAATTCCTTCTTCTTGTCCCTGCAATAAAAGAAGATCAAATTACAATGGTCTAGTGGAAAAATAGTTCTGGGAACAATTGATCTACATAAGTGAATCTCAATTTCTGAATGACAGAGAATTTTTTATATATGTTAATGGATGCCTATTTACAATCACTAAAATTACAACTGATATTTTTTAATTAGATTATTCTGACATAAGAAGAAAAGTGCCTGAATGCATGCGCAGAATATGAAATGTCTGATATGCTATATGAATGTACATATATATACATGGACGAGTGTGTAAACCAATTGAACACTTTCCTCTGAGAATCTTACCTAAAATAATTCGGTCCCCGAACTTTGAAAGTATTTGGCTCAATATGTGACCAAGAATCGAACATTTTCTTTTCTATAGGGCAAAAAGGAACTTGAGAACCTGCTATTGGTCTTTGCAGAAGCATCTTTGACGAAACTGGAATTGAACATAAAAAAAGAAAAAGGGTTAAAGGAATTACAATAGGAAATGTTTATACTAGACAAAAGAGTCAAGATGCTTACAATGCATGGACACTAAGAACTACTATAAAATATTATGACCATTTCTTTTAACAAGTAAATATCAACAACCAATTGAGGAAAGAACTAGGAGAGATATGTCACGGATCAACATTACTTAACCAAGTACTAAGAGAAAATTCACTGTGGATGACAATTTAATATTAAATTTGAAAAGAACCAAACACTGAGAGTCCCATGGGTGCAAGTGATTTGATTAAAGGAATAAAAACCAGCGTAAGGATAACTACATGATGAATATAAAGACTGCGGCTAAAGACTAAAGAAAATGCATACTTGAGATAATAATGATGGCAAAAAATTTTTATCCTA